GTCCCTGCCCATGCAGGGGGTGGGACTGGATGATCTTTAAGGTCCCTTCCCAACCAAACTGTTCCGTGACTCTATGTGGTTGCCCATGACACAACCACTGGTTTAATGTCTCTGCTAAGAAAACATTTCCTCTCCCCTCTGTGCCTTAAAATATGACTCCAGAGCTGCCAGGAGGTGACTGAGCTGCTCTTGTTTGCAACAGGAAAAGAGAAGAGAAGCTGGAGTGGATGTACCAGGGCCCAGGGGGCATGGTGAACAGGGAGGAGTACCTGATGGGGCGCCCCGTGGACAAATACATCTTTGAGAAGGCTGAAGAGAAGGATGCTGGCTGCTCCAGCGAGACTGGGCTCCTCCCAGGCTCCATCTTTGCCAAGTCAGGTGCCAATTCTGTCCTGGACATGGCCAACAAAATCCGGGAGGATCCCCTGTTCATGATCAGGTACTGCAGGTGGAGCTGGGAGCAGTGGGAGAAGCAGGCAAAGAACTGGCTGCTTTATCCCTGTCCCAGCTCCGGGTGTGACTGTTCCTTTGGCTGGTTTGGGAACTCTGGGAGCTGCTGTAATTAGTGTGGGAGGCAGAGATGGGCACAGCTGGTGTTTGTTTCCCCTCCTGGTGGCACCTCCAGGGGAGCAGGGCAGACTCCCCCCTCAGCTGGACCTCTTCTGAAGGTCCAAAACTTCCCTGTTTTCCTGCTTGATGCCTTTTCAGAGCCTGCCTTTCCTCTGGATCTTTCATGAAAAGACACTTCCAGCTGTTCCAAAATGCTCAGTGTGGGTTTGTTTTGTTTTCCTGCTTTAGGAAGAGGGAGGAGGAGAAGAAGAGAGAAGTGTTGAATAATCCTGTCAAGATGAAGAAAATCAAAGAGCTGGTAGGTGAACCTCCCTGCTCCTGGTGAGCACAGAACACTGAGCCAAGGGGAGGGTCAGAGGTGAAAACTGGTGGTTTTCTGGGACAAGGAGCTGAATCCCATTTCCTGACTCATATTAAAATGGAATAAGTTCAGCTTCCTAGAGCCCTGATGGAATCCAACAAGGTTTTTTATCAGTGTCTCAGCAGG